GCGTGACCGTACCGCTCCTCATCCTTATGATCTGTTTATGGGACACTCTGATGGATATTGATTTGGAAATATTTTTGTAAACAGTACTATTTGACTTTTAATTATGGTTGAAAAAGTTTAAATTTGACGTAAAATTTTTGGATGTTACATGGAACTTGTGAATTATCGACTTCACTCAAATATGAATATCCAAAAACTTTCGATTTAAATGCATCAAAGAAATGCACCCAAGTTTGCGGGCGAGAAGTCATTTCTCCCAGGCATCTTTTAGGCAAAAAAAAATATATATTATTTAAGACAAACACATATGCACACACATTTTGTTTCCGTTTCTTTTTTTCACAAACATACACATGCCCTTTTTTCTTTTTTCTTTTTCCCTTTTATTTTTATTTAATATATTAAAAATAATAAATAATTTTATTTATTTCTTATTATGAAACCTAGGCTTTTATATTGTCTAAATTATTACTGGCTAAATTTTTAAAGACTAAATGTTGATTCTTTAATATTTAGCCTATATTTTTATTTATTTAACTATTTGATATAAATAAACAATTTCAATTAAATTTATTGAAACATTTACTTGTTTGAAGGACATGATAGTGTAACTGAACAAGAATATATAGCTTAGTTCCATAATGAAATTGATTAACAAGTTAATGCAAAATATGGGATATGGGATGAATAATTTTTAAAAAATTATTATTATAGTTGTATGAATTATATTTTGTTGGTGATTTGTTATCATCAATATTATTTAAGTGTAATGGGATTACTTTTGTTGACCAAAAGTGATCTTGATAAATATTAAATAAGTAAGGAAGGTGTGGAGTACACACTTGTTTAAGTTTGATCAAGTTTCAAAGTACACTGTCATTTAGGGGCGAAGCCCCTAAACGAACGGGGGTCCGTGGGCAGCGCCCCTGGGAACGGGGTCCAAGGGGCAGAGCCCCTAGCTGGGGTCGAGCTGACCATTGTTTGTTACTATATTAAAAATGCATTAGAAAATCGGATTTTTAGAGAATTGACAATTGTTTGACCCTTATCCAAACTTCCGTTTTTATGTCAGTTTTTATGGTTTTATGACAGTTTGAAACTGTCATATGACAATTTTTCAGACAAAGATTATAAAGTCGGTTTTGGTCTCATTTCTGGTACATACGAAACTATCATCAAAACATTCTAAGTTCTTATCTCTCTGAGTCTTATCCGATTAAAGAATATTGGGAGTACCACCCAGATACTTTAATCTGAAAGTGTTTAACACAATTCTCAGAATTCCAAACCTTTCTATACCCAAATTCTAACATATTTTAATGTTGTAAAACGAGAATTAATTTAATTTCAGTGTTTGAAAAGTTCTTTTAAGTTTAACGATTAGTTTATTTATATTTCAATTTATTTTAACAGCCTACATACATTAAAAAATAAATAATATTATTATTGCAGACTGCAGATATTTTATCTATTTTTTCTTCTCATTTTTTCCATCTCTTCTTCTGTATAAACCTTTATCTTTTTAAAAAACAAACAACTAAATCATAAAAATCTAATGATTAAAAAAAACAAACTGAAACCAAATCATAGAAATTGAAAGTATATGATTTTCTAACAAAAAAACCTGGACTTTACTATTGGACATCCACATATATCGATATAGATGACTATTGTAAAGAATAAAAAATCATCAATTTTGATGTATTAATTTTTTCGATAAAAAAATCCTAAATTTAAAAAAAAAAAAAAGAATAATGGCCGTGATGAATTTTTGTTTTTATGAAAATATGTGTGTTTTTTTAGAAATTATTTTTCCATTACCAATTTGACCGATGTTTTCGGATCATAAAGGTGGTGATAGAATTTTTATTTAAAAATAAATAACATTTTAAACTTAAAAAAATATACAGTGATATTTATTTTAATCCTATATATAAATTAGAGGTCTAAATTCAAACACAACATACAATAATGGGTTTGTGATGGTGAAAGTGACGAGGGGATGATAAGGATTCAACATGGTCGCTCTCTTTGGGTCCTTAAAGAAATTCCAAAACAGAATAATTCCACTGAAAAATAATAATTAATAAAAAAGTCAAATATGATTCAAATTCTTTTCCCCAAAAGCATAAATATAATTTCACATTCATTTTTGTTTTTCGAAAAAAGAGATTTTTAATTATTGTACTTTGGCATATGTACATGCATAACATGTTTTTATCATTCATTAACTAGATATATGAGGAAAAATGATTTATATTAATAATATCTATTCTTATAAAGATAATTTAACAAACAAGGAAAAAAGTTAAATGATTCCTTATATAATGGCCCCTTTGATGTCTAAAGTGTCGAATCATAAAAATTGAAAATGATACATATTCTTATCCTAGTTACTTTTCATTTTTATGACGATAAGAATTTGACAAATTGCAAAATAAATCAATATTTTTGATATATATTTAAATATAATGAGAACTAAATATCATTGACGTGTTTGTTAAAAATTAATTGGTAGCTGATAATGATAATTGATATTGAAAAATTAGTTGGTAGCCGACAACTGATAATTAATATTGATAACCGGTAGCTGGTAATTGAAAATATAATTTTTATTTATATAAAAAATTCGGTAAGAATTGTTGTTAACTTGAAAATGTATAAATTTACATAAAAACCAAACATAAATTTACATAAAAACTCAAAAAAAAAAAAATTAAAAACTCCCAAAAGGTAATTGAAGTAGTTTTTGGGTTAATTTTTTTATTTAAAATAAAATCTAAAAACTGATACTGCATAATTTTTTTTTTCTATTTTTTTGTTAAATAATAAAAGCTAAAAACTCCATTCACTATCATAAAAATCGAACACATCCTATATACGTTTTGAATTACATTTTATCGCTAATTTCAAATTGATTTACAAATTATCAAATTCTGATTTGAAAATTGGAATGGTATAATATACCTTTTCTTTTTTACATTTTACACTGGCTTTAAAAGGGAAAAAAGAAAAGGCGAAAAAACAAATAGTACTTTCCAACTCCCTAGACTTAAATCACCCAACACCAAAAACCAAATGCATATGTACTCCATTAATTTGGTCAAAACCGAGTGTGAATGAGAGAGAGAGAGAGAGAGAGAGAGAGAGAGAGAGGAGAGAGGACGTGTCGTGAATGAAAGGTGCATCATAAGATGCTGAATACCCCGTAGTGTATTCTTTATGGAGGAATCATCTTCTTGAGTTCAAGTTTCTATCAATCGAAACCTCGTAGATCTAACATCCAAGAATCATTGCATTCGCATCGTCTTCTACTCGATTTGATACACATTCCCATGTAATTTTTTGGTTTAAAACAAACGACCCCTTCGTTTCTACGTTCCCCGCATGTTCTTTTTCAAAATCTTTGATCAGTCGGATTCAAGATTAGGTTCTTCATCTGGGTTTACATCAAAAGAATACTCGTTATGCATTTGAAAATCTAGAAGCCAACGATTCGATTCTAAATTAATTTCCTTTCTTTTCCGATTTGAGGAGAGAGAGAGAGAGAGAGAGAGAGAGAGAGAGAGAGAGCGCCAGGGGGATTAATGGGTTGTTTTTCTTGCTTTGATTCGAGGGTGGAGGAAAAATCGAATCCTCAAAAAGTTGGGGCTGATCGTCCTGAAGTCCACCCATCTGCCCCTTCCAATATCTCCAGATTACCTTCTGGTAAGTGTGTATGTGTGTTTGTTCAATTAATTTTCTTACGATTTAAAGTATAAACACATCAACATTGATTGTTTGATTTTGATAATTTGATCTGATCTGCCTTTGTATCTATTATGAACTCCCTTTTATTTCTTACATGACCATGATTAATTACTCACTTCAGATTGATGTAGACCCCATTAAATTATTCTATAGAGCATCGTTTTCATTTTCAATTATGACTAGAATTATAGAATTAGTTACAATATAGACAAAAGATCTATGAAATTGAGCAGTTACTAATCTCATATCACTTTTTACTGTAGACACAAATAATTTATTAGTTTCATTACTGTGAATTGATCGGATTTACAGGTGTTGACAGACTGAAATCTAGAAACAATGTGAGTTTAAGAAGGGAATCATCAGGTTCAAAAGAAGGTCCATATGGTCAAATTGCTGCTCAAACATTCACATTCCGTGAGCTTGCAGCTGCAACAAGCAATTTCAGCCCTGATTGCTTTTTAGGGGAGGGCGGCTTTGGCCATGTCTATAGAGGACGTCTTCAGGGTAGTGGTCAGGTATAATCTTTCTGTTTCTATAATCTATTGTTTCAAAGTATATATAATCTTATAACTTATAAATTATATAATCTTTTATAAAAGGTTGTAGCTGTGAAACAATTGGATAGAAACGGGCTTCAGGGTAACCGTGAATTTCTTGTTGAAGTTCTTATGCTTAGCCTTTTACATCATCCCAACTTAGTGAATTTGATTGGGTATTGTGCTGATGGAGACCAAAGACTTCTTGTTTATGAGTTCATGCCATTGGGTTCACTAGAAGATCACCTTCATGGTATAACCATCTTTCTACTTTCCTTTTTTTATAAACATACCATACATATAATTTATCAAAAATATATATACAATAACACAAGTGATTTAACTCCTCACAGATCTTCCACCGGACCGAGAAGCACTAGATTGGAACACAAGAATGAAGATAGCTGCAGGAGCAGCCCGAGGTTTGGAGTTTCTTCATGATAAGGCTAACCCTCCTGTGATTTACAGGGACTTCAAATCCTCCAACATTTTACTCGGTGAGGGATTTCAACCAAAGCTCTCGGATTTCGGGCTTGCAAAACTGGGCCCCACTGGTGACAAGTCCCATGTTTCAACGCGTGTCATGGGGACATATGGTTATTGTGCACCTGAATATGCCATGACCGGTCAACTCACGGTCAAATCTGATGTGTACAGCTTCGGTGTGGTTTTCCTAGAGCTTATTACCGGTCGTAAAGCCATCGATAGCACTGCACCACAAGGGCAACAAAACCTTGTAACTTGGGTAATTAATTAATTAATTATCCTTTTTCTTTCTATTCGTGTCTTTTTTTTTTTTGTATTTATATAATTAACTTGGTGTGAAATAAAATTTTAGGCAAGACCATTGTTTAATGATAGAAGGAAGTTTGCATCATTGGCGGATCCAAGGCTTGAAGGTCATTATCCAATGAGGGGGCTTTACCAGGCTCTAGCGGTTGCATCCATGTGTATCCAAGAACAGGCGGCGGCTCGACCGTTGATAGGTGATGTGGTGACCGCGTTGTCTTATCTTGCGAACCATGCGTATGACCCTGGTGCGGTCAATGGTCAAAGCAACAAGCACGCGAATGGGAGGGTTTTAAAGAATGAAGAAGGTGGAGGATCGGGGCGTAGTAGATGGGATCTTGAAGGATCTGAGAAAGGAGAATCGCCAAGAGACACACCCAGGATTTTGAACAGGGATCTTGATAGGGAAAGGGCTGTTGCAGAGGCAAAGATGTGGGTGGAGAAGAGAAGGCAGAGTGCTCAAGGCAGTTTTGATGGGAATAGCAATGGCTCTGGTCAGTAGAAGGATGGTTTGAGTTTTTTGTTTTTCTTCTTTTTGCCAAAACCGAATTTGGGAAAAGATTGGAGGAGTGTATAGAAACGATGAGGAGGATGTTGTGATGTTTATGGTTAATTTTTCCTACACAGTGAGGCATTTTAGGTGCTTTGTGGGTGTCTTGTTGTTTTTCTAATGTAACATATTGGTTAATGATACACAACATGGTTTTGGTCCGTTATTTTTGCTCCAGTTTCCAATTATTAGTTATCAGTTTCTTGCCTATACTTTCTCGCAGAACCTGTAAGCTGATATATACACAAAATGCTCGGTTTATAGTAAGCCGATATATACAAGCAAGATGCTAATGTTGGATATAATATGCAAGATACAAACAATTTACTGTACTGCTAATTATATGTTATATGTTAGACCGAGGGGTCTCACACTAAAAGCTATAAAAAGGATTTGGAAATATATAATAGATTTATTGGATAAGTTATTATTAACCAACTAGAATAAATAAGTAAATCTATTAATTATTTCTCATTTATTAGTTAAAACCAAATAAATAAATAAGTTTATACAATAAATAAACAAAAGAGTTTGGATGGGTTGGTTGCTCAAAGTGGTTAAGCGGTCGTTTGATAGTCGGTAATTGTGCTAGAGGTTTGGACCGGGTTAGAAGCAAAATGGAACACCAAACATGTGGACTAAAGAGCGAGTCCAAGGGAGGGGTTGATCAGAGAAAAAATGAAGAACAAATTGGGTCAAGAAGGAAAACAATGGGGACCGAATTAGCAAAAATATGGCGCCCGCCCGAGTCCAAGGGTGTAGAAGGGAAACAAACATGCTGACTCGAGACTGAGACCAGGTCCTAGCTTCAGACCCTGTTAGAAGGAAAATCAAATGACCCCTAACTTGAAAGGTTTTTAGAAAGCTCACTCATCGATATAAAATATACGTATATATAAATGGATATGTGTTACCAATAATAAGCAACATAATTGAAAACCTCTCTCTCTCTCTCTCTCTCTCTCTCTCTCTCTCTCTCTCTCTCTCTCTCTCTCTCTCTCTCTC